TGCCTAAGAACTTACGTGCCTTGCATTCTGTTTTCCACATGAGCCTATTAAAAAAAGATCCTGGCTCTTCTCCATGGAGACCTTCGGGCACTCCCCCTCCACCTATTCTACTTGAGGGGGATGAACATTTTGAGATCGCTGATGTCCTTGATTCCAGGATTAAACGTGGTAAGCTCTGGTATCTCATCGAATGGGTGGACTTCGGACCCCAGCACCGCGAATGGGTGGAAGAAGGGGATATTCGGGCCCCTTATCTGCTTCGTGAGTTCCACAGGAAGTTCCCGGCCAAACCGGGAGGTCTCCCGCCCAAACCGGGAGTTCTCCCGACCTGTACCCCCCCCCGTCTGTGTGCCTGTATTTTACTCTGCTGTAATGCCTAAGCCAAACAACTGGAGGATGTATTGGGGGAGTACGCTTTATTGCCAGCTTGTTGCTTTTAGAGCCTGGGAACTGCACCTGTATTATGTCTGGAGATAGCCTGGTTCTCAGGGAATGAGCGCGCAACCGTTTCCTTTCACCCGCCAGCGGGAACGTGACCCATTGGTTCTGTACCTGTTTCAAATCCCTTTATTATGCTTGCCCTAACCGTTTGTAGTCAGTTCTAACAAAGAACGTGTTTGAGTGTCTTTCCAACGCTTTGAAATAAATTTTGCTTTTCTTTAAAACGTGGATTTATTCTCGATGCTTGGGGATCCAACAGGCTACACCTTTCCTGCCACGACTCAAGGCCCGATGATTCTCCTGTGGCTGTAAGGAATTCTTACAGCGCAAAAGATGGGAATTGAAAACCATCCATCCTGGCCCACAGGCTGCCTTGAGCACATGTCAGTTTGGGCTCCTTGTGTCATCTGTCAGTGTAAAAGTTGACTCCCTCTTCTGAATTAACTTGAGCGTTCCCTAAAATAGTCTCCAAAACAAGGCTATGTATTTATTTCCACAACCTCATTCCTCTGCTTCTAAAACACAAGTTATCCTATTGGTCCATCTGGCTCAGCATTTTCCTCTTTGCTAGCAGCTCTCCAGGGTCTCCAGCAAGGTCTTTCCCCCACACTTCTTACTGGAGATGACAGGGACAGATACTGTGACCTTCTACATGCCCATGATGTGTTTCAGAGTACTGAGTCAAATTGATCTAGTTTCCTGTGAGAATGTAAAAAACAAACATTTCCACAGTGCCAACACCAGAGGGCACCCAATGAAATTTGTTTTTTCATAGTGTGCCTCTTTTGGTGGGGAAGGAAGGTGGCATGATATAGCCTGATCTCAGAAGCAGGGTCGGTACTTGGAAGGGAGACCACCAGGGAAGGCTCTGCAGAGGGAGGCGATGGCCAATCGCCTCTGCTCCATCACTTGCCTTAAAAGCCCCTTGCTGGGGTCGCCATAACTGGGCTGAGAGTTAACTGCACTTTACCAACACAAATCTTTTGGTGTTCTCATAGCTTCATATGCAAGTGCCATCAAGTCATGACTGACTTATGGCAACCCAGCAAGAGGCTTTCAAGGCAAGTGAGAAGCAGAGGGGGTTGGTCATTGCCTTCCTCTGCAGCCCCTTCCTTGCTGGTCTCCCATCCAATAACTGAGGCTGTTTAGCTTCTGAGATCTGATGAAATTTGGCTATACCATGCCCCCTTCACTCATGTTCTTATAGCTGTGGTTTGTTAAAGGTTTAAGTTAACTTAAACCACTGAAAATGGCACTTGAGATGTTTTGAAATTCAAAATTAACAAAATATTTTATTCAACATAGAGGGGAAATGTCAGGTGAAATCATGGACTGAAATTTCTGAGGTAACTCTGTATATATAACTCTGAGGTAAAACCAGTATATGCACAGACATTAGTTCATATGCTTTTCAGGCTATTGAGAGGTTTTGTAAGTGAGGATGGGCACGGACCGGACCATGGACCTAATTTCATCATGCAGGGGTCTGTTCGACACACTCTTGAACCTGCAGCTGTGATTTCCCCAGAGAGCACTTTCCGGAGGCACCTGCTTTGCGTGGCTGTAACTTGGTCCCACTAAATCCAATCTTCACCAAACTTGGTAGGCAGGTAGAGGAGAGTCTGCTCGAGACTCACTGTGAGTTTGGCATCTCTAGCATGGGGGTGGTGGTTTTCTACTACATCCCAAATGACAAACTGCATGAACAACAAACTGGTCCGTTAAGCAAAAAGGTGTCAGAACCCACAGCCAACAACGTAGTACACGCTTATCAGGAAAGGTAATACTTTATTGAAGAGCTATAGATGCATTAACATAGGCACTGTTAAGAATGACGGCTGCCCATGGGGCATAATAGGATATAGGGTATTCGTATGCATCCCCCACTGCCCTGGCCAAGTAGCCACACTCCCGCGCGCAGGAGAAATAGCTCTGGCCGTTTAGCGCTGAAGCTGGGAACCAAACTCTCTCCCATGGTTCCCGAGAAACCCAGACATCAACATCACCACCTGCAGAACTTATAGATAAGTGGTACAGCAGCAAAGAAGCACAGAAGGAATGCAATGGCAATTAGAATACAACTAACCTCCCCACCCCCATGGCAGCATAGCTGACAAAAGGTCTGTGAAAATTTGTGGTTTGTGGTCTGTGAAACCCACAAACCTATACAAATCTCAATTTTTCTGGTCTGTGCCCATCCCTATTCATAAGCTTTCCCCAGTGACTTAGGAACTGCAAGGTCATAAGAGGCCTTTGCTCCTGTGTTTCCCAAATACTCCAGTACACTTTCTTTTAGTATTCCCTGACTCTAATGGTTTCCAGAAGGCTGGGATGCTCAATTTTGTGCTCACTCCTTCTATGCCAGTACTCTTCTCAAGATTTATCTGACTCTTTAAGATTTCACAAGGCAGTTTCTAACCACACCAGACCAGGGATCTCTGCACTCTTCAGAGCTAACTCCCTGTTTGACTGGGTAGGGAATTTTCTTCTCTCTCTCGAAGAGTGGGAGTCTCCGTCCAACTACCCACTCATCCTTGCCAACTTTCCTCTGTATTAAGCGGCTCTCAGTCAGGGCTGAATTCCGAATGAATTCTCCTCAACACTTCAGCTCGAAAGTCTCTCTCTGCTCAGCTAATGCTAACCAATCTCTTGGAACAGCCTGTCACACCATGCTCTCTGGCTCTGTGAAGAATTAGCCCTTCACATTCCTTTATCTGTTTACACAGCACTTCTAAACTTTTGTTTTTTTAAAAAAATTAAAAATTAATTTCTTTAAGTAAAGGTGGGATACAGAAGGGAAGAAAGGGTGGGGGGAAAATATAGATTCATCAGCTTTTAAAAGTACAGTCCGTCACCCCAGGCTCTGTCCCCGGATCTCCAGGAATTTCCCAGGCCAGAGTCGGCAAACCTTTCAGGGGGTCCTGAGTTAGAAGACCTGTAACGGTTGACAAGTTTCTCCGACATACAGTTTTCCCACTGCTACTAATTTTGCTCCATGAGATCTGAAGCGGCAGCTGAGCATTGGGGTATTCCATGGCTTGGAAGGGTAAAAATCTGGCTTGCAGTATCTGCTTTTATTCAAAACAAACAAACATGACAGTCTGATCCATTCCCAAATAGTGGCTTAGGGACATAACCTGGTATGTTGTGGATTTTTAAAAAAAGAGTAGCTTATTCAAACAGATGGGCCCAGCCACAGACCTACACTTGTCACATGTATAACTTACATATACACAGATAACTATTATGGAATTAAGGATTCAGAAGACATTCTAGAAAACATTTCCCCTTTGTGCAAATGAGACCACTGAGGCATCAAGAGTGGTTCCCAAAGGCAATGTGTTAAGCCACAACAAAGAACGCAATACACAAGCCAGAGAGGTCTCATAGCCAAGACACAGACTACAGGTCAAGGATATGAATTAACAGTAGTCTCCTTTTACAGTTAGGAAACACTGAGACCGAAAGAGAAGTTTGACTGTCAGTGAATGTATTAACTCTGCTGTGCCTAGCCAGTCTCAGCAACCTATAAATACAGCAGAGTTACACCCTACTTAGTCTGTTTTTTTTAAACTATATGTTTATTTTTTCCAACAAGATTACAACGTCATCAACAAATTAAGCATAATCAATATAGGTCCCTTCACTTGTATTTCAGTCAACATAAACTATTCTATAATAACATATTTCCAGTAGGAATACATTCAGAGAAAAAAACAACTTCTTAAGGTAGGGAAGATATACATATATCTAACAATTTTTAACAAAGACTAATTTAACCATATAGCATTATTTTGTATTTGGCTTCAGTAATGCTTTCCCAGTTATATTTATGAAATGTTATTTTTTCTAATATAGGGTACCATTTGCTCAAAGGATTGTATATTTCACATTAATTTTGGTCATTGGTGTTGTATATGGAAATTGTTTCCAACATTAAAAAGTCCCATATTTTGTTAAACCATTAATTAATGTTAGGAGGGTGGCGGTCTTTCCAGCTTTTAGCTATTGTAACTTTTGCCGCTATTATTAAAATGTCAAATAATTTTCTCCTTATGATAGGTGGGCTTTCATCTGGCCAAAGGTTTACAAGCAAGATTTTCGGGTCAAGAGGTATTTCATAGCCGGTAAGTATTTGAATGTGTTTTGTAACAGACTTCCAGAAGTTTGAAATATACTTACAGGTCCACCAAGTATGGAAATAGTCAGCTCTTTTTCCGCACAATTTCCAGCATAATGTGGAAGCTTGTGGAACTGTATGGGAATGTATTGCAGGTGTCAGGTACCATCTCAGAAGCACTTTTGTTGTTGCTTCTTGAATCTCTAGGGATTTCGAGATATTATTTTGAGCCTTTCAAATAGTTTCCCATTGGTCATTGCTAAATGTTTGTTTAAGGTCTGAATGCCAAGCTGATTGATAGCTCATTATTTTCGTGTTGGAATTTTCTAGTAGGATTTGGTATATTTTGGAAATTAAACCTCTTTTTTTTGTAGCCTTTAAATAAAATACGTTCAAAGTCCGTAATCGGGAGTGAAATTGTTTGCTTAAATCCCGTAGACTCTATTAGGTGCCTCAATTGTAGGTATTCAAACCAACGAATCTTAATATCGTGTTGCTTTTCTATTTCAGGTTTCATGAGGAGCTTATTTTTACAAACGACATCGACTATTCTGGTGATGCCTGTCAGCTTCTAGGTAAGGTAAGTGTTATGCTCTTTGGCTGGTTGAAAACATTGTTGTCCTATGAAGGTGCTGAGTTGAGAGTGTGGCATGGTTAATTTGTCTTTATTTTGATACCATATTCTGACCCTACTTAGTCTGTTGACCTCAATGGACTTAGAAGGGTGCTATTCTGTTTGGCCTAACGGTGCTTTCCAAGAAACCTGTGCAGACATCTACACACTCTGATCTCTCTATCACAAGGATCAATGTAAACGTAAAGTCATGCATAGCGGGGCAAAAAAATCCTAGCCACGTTCACATGGATGGGATCTGAACTGGATAAGATTAATAAAACCTGTTCAGATGAAATATTAGCCATCCTCTCATCCAGATAGAATTTTCAGCACATACAGAGCAACATACAACGCACTCAGGGCCAGAAAAGCATCAGGGTTTCCAGTCACAAGAAGACCGGCTCCGCTTCTTTGGACTGTCACTCCACATGACTTGATCATAGCCTCAGTTATGTCCAGCTCGTCTTCGATGAAAGGAGAGACTTTCTGTGTTTCTATAGTGAGCTTCCATTCTTTATTACTGTTGACTTCTTCTAGGATGCATTGTACCTTTGCAAACAAGAAAGAAGCAAAATCAGAACTTTTTGAGCCATGATATCTACAATGGAATTTGTACATCCGAAAGAAACTACACCAGATTTATGAGAAATGTGATGTGTGTTGATGTTATCTTTAATGCATGCCTGTTTCTTTCTATGCATGTTGACCAGGAAGCAAATCCTCAAGAATACAGCAGGACATTGTCCCGTAAGTACAGGTTTGCACCCATACACAGCCTGGCTAGCAGGCACAATGTTTCTTGGAAGTCTTGTTGAAAGGCCTCAGTCACATTAGAAAGTACAAAAGCTAGGCATGCAAATTAATTGAAGATGGTGGACATGTCAAAACTGCAGTTGTGTCATTTTCACTTTCTTGAAAATCTTCAGCAAGCCTCTATACATCTAATTCCAACAGGGGGTGGGTTGTGCGGAGACTTATTTCTGCCAACAGAGGGCTCACTCTCCCCCAACAGTTTTTCCTACATAGTCAGTAGACTTCCTGTGTCTGCAGAAAAATCCAAAAAGTAAAAAAAAATCCCTTCAGGGAAGGTTGAATTCCCCCCAATACCTTTTGAAATGGCCTTTGCAGGGATCTAACTCCAGACATCAACGGTGAGAGATTGATTAAAACGTTCGGGTCCAGTGCCAGCCTGGGGAATCCCTAGAGATTTTGAGGTGGACTGTAAGGAGGGCTGGGTTTGGGGAAGGAAGAGGCCTCAGCTGGGTATAATGTCACAGAGTCCATCCTCCAAAGCAGCCGTTTTCTCCAGGGAGACAGATCTCTGCTGTCTTGAGTT